TATTCATTTTTTCATTTACCTATTCTGCAAGGAATTTTACCGATCCTTCTAGTATCTACATTCAGTATAATGGCTTATCGTAATGTTCGACGTATTCGTCGACAACAAATGAGTAATACTCGACGACGACTTGATAAGCAGTTGACGGCTATGATTCTTGCTAGAATGATACTTTTTGTTGTTTGTCTTTTACCTTATACTGCATTATGTTTTTACGTTTTCAATATGCAGAGTCATAAAAATGAAACACTTCAAAGTGCAATTGAGAATCTTATCTTAGCTATTAACAGCTCCATTAGCTATCTCAATATTTCGGTATGTCACTTTAGTAGTTATCGTGATTCCTTTGATTTCATTAATTCTTATGTACTTCTAGGGTACATTCTATGTTTATCTGATATCATCAGCGCGATTTCGTCGTCAAACAAAATGTGTTTTGATTAAAAAGTGCTGGAAATATATTCGAGAGATGTCAAAGAACTGTCGACAACCAACCATGAATAATCCAGTAGCACCAATGACAAATAGCGACGTCGACTATTAAAATTATTGAAGATAGACAAAATGATCATTACGACCAAGCATATGATTTAGATCTAAGAACACTTTTCCATTTGTCTTTCGATGTAAATCCAAATATATCGTATTGAATGAGTTCTATTACAGTTCGAGAAAAGAAATGAAGAACCTACATGGACTTTTTTCTGAAACTGGCTTGAAAAAATATCACCAAGGAAGAGTCATTTATTCAGATTCAGGCGATATGTGCGTTGAAAAGAGCTCATGAATTCTAAAGAAGACTGATACACATATACGTATAGTTTCGAATCAGATAACATACTGTTGAAAATTAAAATCTATCTGATGAACAAAAGAATATCGCTATGTTTCACAGTATGACAAACTTTCTAAGCTTGTTTAATGCAATTAGATCGATCGAAAATGAAATTGAGTGTGTAACAGCGCCAGTAAAGAAAAGGTCTTCAACGACATCGACATTCGTCCACCAATTTACCCCCGTACACTCACATTGTTTTCAATCATAGAACATTGAACGGTCAACCTGAATAACGTTGAAAGTAAACATGTCAAAAGAGAAATGAAGATGGAAGACGAGAGCATAAGGGTGAGAATGAGAGTGATGAAGATCTCTACTTGCATCCACTTTCATGTCTCACAGTTGTACCTTTCGAGATGTGTCTTTTATTTTGCTTTTCAATATTTTTTGTTTTTGACATTTCTACTTTCGACATTATTTAAGTGAATCCATTGAATATCAGCACCACTGACTCGTAATAAATTGGATGAATACATATTTTGTAACTACATTTTCATTTCAGGATATGTTTGTTTCTAATAAATGAATTATTTTCAGGTTCTTCATTACCAACAGATGAAAGAAACTGAATTGAACTATCATCATTGCTTATAAATTTCATGACAGGTCATTAAGGAAAATTTGAAATTGTTTCGACGTTGGGAAGATAAATTTGGACTACGATGTCTAGAGTGGAGTGTTGATGGGGGAAAACAAAATATTCAATCCAATATTACCATTGATTGAATGTGTTGCATTGAAAAGAAATGCAAAAAGCTTCATAATTTTGGAATCGCAATAGATATTTGTATGAACTCTTTCACTTCGCTGAACTATTGAGATATGCTGCGTATGCACATCACATATTATATTGTATATAATTCATTCTGAGTAAATTAAACTATAATGAAATGACCTTTCATTTTATAATCTTGTCTAATCAACATTCATTTGATATATGTCATAATAGTGTCAATAATCAGTTTTTTTAAAGACGAACTATAAATTATTTGTTAGATATATTTGTTTTATAAAATTAAAACCAATACTTAGCTTAGTGAACATATTATTTGTAGTTTAATGGATTTACAGATTGTCATTTTGATAGAAAGAAGCATTCTTTCTGAGCAAAATTTTAATTTTATTCTTAATTGAAAATAACTTAAAATATATTTCAATTGAATATATGACATAGGAAAAAATGTCGTTCACGTTTGTATTGAAAAGAAAAATATATTTGTTTTACAATAAAGACAACACTTGTCATATCGCGCTCCTTTTCTATGAAGAACTTTTACATAACAGGACCAGCGATTATCTGAAAGTTAAATACTTGAAGTAACATATAATTATATATTGAAAACTATTTTGTGAGATTAGCATTGATAGAAGAAAATGTCACGTATATTCAAAATACAGTTGTTGTGAACTCATTCCGTTACCCCTTCTGTATAGAATGGTTCGAAAATGACTCAAAAATGGCTGTGTAATGAAGAACTAGGGAAGTCACTGTATGAATACTTTCAATAATGGTATTTTGTTTTGAACTACTTCATATCTCCAGAATATGACTATCTTACACACAACACAAGTTTACATTGGAGAGGGATGAGCATAGGAAAATAACAATAGAGAGAGAATAAAAAAAGACAGAGGAAATAAGGATAATACTAATAAAATGATACTCATGCTGGGTTACAAGCTGGCATTAGGATGATCATCTATATTCCCACGAATATGAATCCCATTAGAAAATCCATAGAACATGGGCGTGAAAGTAGTACTTGTGTTCATTCACACTCACACTCTTCTCATACGAAAAAAAAGATGTTTTCTTTTTTGTATTCGGTACTTTTTAGCTTGTGTGCAAGAAATATGACTTGTCATTATATTGATGTTAATTGATGCTACCGAATAATCTCTCATATTCATTGTCACCTGGTTTAAATTATTTCGAAAGGTAAAGGAAAATAATGTTCGATTTAAACATTTTCGTTTTTTTTAATAAAATAATAGTACAACACAAATTGTTTCATTTATAATTGATTGTGTTACTGTCGAATGGAGCATCTAATTGATTATTTTATTCCTTATGCTAAAATTTTTCTAAGTTTTTCTCTGACATATGAAATCTTATTTTAAATATTCAATTTTAGTTATATGGAAAGCTTGAAAGGATCATGTGAAAAATTGATGTCGTGCTTATTAATTCTTGGTTTTATGTGATAATTTAATAAAAAATGAAAAACAACATGTGAATCAACAGTATAAAGAAAGTACGTTGATTATTCAAACACTACAAGAGCTGCAATATACCAATGGCAAAAAAGATTAAGCTTGTAATGTACTTAAAAAGCTAAATATTTATTGCTTTATTTAAAGATGATGCAACACACAAAAGTAGATTTGAAGTCTACAGCATAGTTTTGAAACTTCAGATGTAATAATATATCAGTATTATCGTCGTCAATGATTTATCAAAATCGACGGTTGATCACGTTTAATAAAAAACCGATAGTTCGAATGGTGTCGTTCGTTTTTTTTATAAAGGATTTAGGGGCAAGTATTGGCGAGGAGATGAGCCATAGCTACAGCCACATCATCGTTCAGGATGTCGTATTTAAGCTGATGAGACACAAGAATAAATCCTTGTTTTTCGAGCATGATTTATTTGAATGTTGCCACTCGACTAAAGATCTCTCATAGTGCGATCTGGCAAAGTTGTACTGAGTCATACTGAGAAGAATGAGAGATCCAACAGATACTAACCAAGATCGGTGATGGCTTGAGTCTCATATATTGTTACAAATGCCGCATGTTTGTTTCCATCATTGTTATCATATCTACTGAAAAGATTTCCTTTGCTTAGATTCAAGTAAGATTCGTTTTTTGAGCTCTGATGAAATGATTACAACAGATTATATTGACATAGGTAATGATGGATTGCTTGCAGATCAGGTGAATGTTACTTCAATTCGCTAGATAATGAAGTTCGAGAACAATGAAACTCGAATATTGTCTGAAGACCTCTGTAGTATCCACCAGACCAGGATTCGTCTTTCCATTCTCACAAGTAAATTTTTAGTTCCTATTAAGAAAAACAAGTCTTTCAAGATGTACCACACTCCTACCTTCAAACCTAGCGATTCGTTGATTCGCTGAAGTAACATATTGAGTGTGTCAAGTTCATCTGAGTTCTCTGAAAGCAGCCGAAATAGTTCTCTTGCCGTCAGTGGATCTTAGGAATATAGCTAGTTGATCACGGCCTTTCGACATATTTCATTTGAGCACAATTATCTGTCTAAGTCATTAAATCGCATCCGTTACGTGAAAAAGAATTTGCTCCTTGTTCAAAAAAGACTGTCGAATCTAATTAGTCAAAAACCTTTCATCTATTTGCTTACTTGCGAAAAAAAGATTCGGTGTAGTCGATTCCTAGACATTTATATCAGAACAATTGCTCCTGTGATCACTTCCGTTACTTTTCTCTATCATAGTAGACACATTTTTTCTCAAATATCTTCGTTTGGAAGCTTTGAGTAATTTATAGATTTTGGTTTGTTGCGTATTAGTGTGGTTTTTGATCTGCCGACAGGTCTTAATTTCAGTTACGATTGTTGAAAGGGTACAAAATTTCACATTTCCAACAGAACAACACTACCTTCATTGCTTACTGCAAGATCCAAAAAAAGCAAAACTCGAGAATTTGAGAGAAGAGAAAAAACGACTTGAGAGCTGAGAAAAGTTTGAACATTGACCGGCCAAGAATATTTGAGTTGCTGATTTTTACATGGACAAGCGTGTATCAGTGTCCATTTTTTAACTGGAAAACTGCATGGTTCTGGATCTTTATATTCTCGAATTATTCAGCGAGCTGCCGAATCGCTTGTATTTTGAAATAGGTACTAATGTACTTCACAACAGTCGCTAATGAGCGTATTGAATTCTATTGATACCGCACAGTGCAGTCGTTTCATCATGTTCATGAACTGACCGTCATTACGCGAAATATTTTCATTGATATCTATATAATAAGACATAGTGAAACTGAGTGTAATACTCAGAAAAGACTTCAAGGACACAACTATGTTCCTTTAACTGAGCAAGACAGACTGCAGGCTGTTCAGCTTCGAGAAAAGTTCTCTGGCATTCATTTTGCACAAGTATTGCCATCCTATTTGACACGGGGGGAGTTCAATCGCTGAACTGATTTTTGGGCCATACACATTAACTATTATTGAAACACCGTTGCTTCGAGAAACATCATAGGAAAAGGATTTTGAAAGGAATGGTTTCCAGAGTTCTGCAAAGATTTTATCAAGTTTCAAATAAAAACCGATTCTGGATTCTGATAGGAGAATCCAGTCAGAATCTGTAGTTACATCAAAGGAGGATCTTAACAAAAATAAAACAGCATTAGTGAGATTCCTAAACGAATAAATCCTGTCAGGTTTTGATCAGGATCCTGCTCTAAATTTTTCAGAAACAAGCGTTTTCAGATCCTTAGAAGATAATATCAACAATGGTCTGACCCTCGATAGGAAAATACAAAGATCTAGTTGCGATCTTTACAGGTTTGTATTTAGAGTACATTCAGAATTTGTCTTTCAGAATCTGTTCAAGATTCGTAAATCTTTACATCACAAAACTAATTATAATACAAATGTTGAGTAAAATCTTAACATTGACAAGTCGAAGGATTTTTCAAGTTTTTATCTTGTTTCGTT